AATATAAAGGGTGCCTATGTACATACACATGAATTGTAGAAATGGAAACGAGAGCTGAATAATTTTAATCAGAAAGAATTTCACCTGCAAAGAATTTCATGATATATTTTATGGTGTTCAGAGGAATGTCGTAAAAAGTATATCACTTTTTACGGCATGCATTCACCGAACGCCATAAAAGGTAATAACGACGTGCTACCGGGCAAGCCATAAATTTCATGATATATTATATAGCGTTCAGAGGCATGCCGTAAAAAGTATATCACTTTTTACGGCGTGCATTCACTGAACTCCGTAAAAGGTAATAACGCCGTTCTCTAGACGGCATACGCTGTACGCCGTAAAAAGTGACCGGCATTGCTTTATACGGCGTGTTGCTATACGACGTAAAGAATTATTTATTGCATGCCGTAAAATGTGAACTTTGTTGTAGTGACATCCTATTTCTCTTTACTTCATCGGTCAAAACCAATTAAAAAATTGACATGTATATTTGTATTGCACATTTGTGTCTTTGCGTTTTCTTAAGATTTTACAAAACATATATTTAAATTAAATAACGTGCATTACAATAAAAATAAAGGTTTCGAAGATAAAAGTTAAAATGTCACATATTCAATTACGGGTTATGTTGCACATCAATGTAGCATGCCAATGTAATTAAAAACATCCTATTTCTCTTAACTTCATCGGTCAAATTCAATTTTAAAAAATTGACATGTATATTACTGCACATTTGTGTCTTTGCGTTTTCTTAAGATTTTTACAAAACCTATATTTACATGTTCATAGTTCGGAGGGAGGAAAAATATACAAATAAATAAGAATATCTTAGTACAACACAAGCACAAGTACACATATCCCAAGGCCTTGCTGTATCCTCAAGTGATTATCTCCATACTCTTTGTTATGCATACATGGTATTACGCAATATATCTATTCGATAAGCAGGTGCATGAATTATATTCCTTCAATAAAAAATATATCCATGCAAAGACGATAAAATTGCGACTTACATGTGCAAAATATCTAATAGAATTTTTCCTTATCGAAACCAAAATATGAACACAAATTTTACCTTACTGAAATGTAGAAATAAGAAGGAGATGATATGAAGCGAGGTATGCAAATGCAAATCTCATTAAGATGGATTTCGCCTCCTGCACGAGTGCTAATATGATTAAATGGACGTCTATCCCCTAAGATATAATACTTCTTCCAATATTGATATAGCATAATATTAATTTTGATAGACGAACTAACTCTTAACTGTAATTTTCTAGAATGGAGGATATCGAATACTTAAATACCGAACACGAAATTAAAAATAATAATTTGAAAATTATTTTGACATAATTAGATCAATTATATGAAATTCATTTGGAGTCAAAAAAAATAAAATTATGAAGGTCATATTTATAAATTTTCATATTTTTCTTCGAATGGTTGCATATTTTGGAAAAAAATTATTTCAACCATTAGATCACACCATTTCAATCACACCATTTCAAAATTTAATGGTGTATATCGCACCCTATTAACATTTCATAACTCATCATGCACCTTTTTGAATAGTAACACCCATTTCAAAATAACTAACTCTTTAATATGCACAATTTACAATTGAAGAGTCAAAACTAGTCATCACACCAATGGAGACTTTTTCTGATTCACACCTATAAAATATCCCGTAAAATATCCCGTAAATTCTAACAATCCCCCACATGAATGGAAGAAGCCGACTCAAAACAAAAAAACAAAAAGAAGAGTACAAATTTATTGGACTCACTTGGCTAATCGGTGAACATAATATTTTGAAATGTTAGCCGTCGAACACATTATATTTCATATTACATTTTAATTCTCTATTGTGATCATTATTTCGGCTCTAAACTTTCTTGATTATGCAAGTGCGCTAAATAATTCACCTAAGTTCTCATAGAACTGACCAAGTTTGCACACATTATTTTGGCCCTTAACTTTGATTCTCTATTGTGTTCATTATTTCGCCCCTAAACCTTCTTGGTTCTGCAAGTACGCTAAATAATTTGCCTAAGAAAATTCTCGTAGAATTGGAAAATTCCATACTCACTTGCAAGGTTCTAAAATACGTAATGTGTGACAATGCGTTTTGGTCGAGTATCAAGCATTACAAAAAAATGCGTGCTTATGCGATGCATATACTTAATTATACGTTTTCCAATTTTTAATATTATTTTAAATATTCTAAACTAATAAATAAATAAAGTAATGCATTCTTTAAACTTTATACATATTCTTAAAATTTTTAAAAAAAATGTTGCTCAAAATCATAATACTACAATTACTTGAACTTTATACAAATTCTTCAATTTTTTTTTTAAAAAAAAAGCATAATAATCAATATCATAAGTATAACAATTACTTGATAATCAATTCATATAATTAAATTAGACACGAATATTGGCTTAAGAAATTCTAAATATTTTCTCACTCTTTATTGGATTACAATTCAAACTCTTCTTCATCCAAGTCATCTTCCTTGTCATCAGATATAAAATCATCTTTATCGGGCTCTCTTATTTCAACTCGAGAATTTCTATTACATTTTGTAGATTGTAGGATATTATTA